TGTTTTCCCCAAAAGGTCAAAAACGACCCCGGGTCCGCTTGGTCAAAACTTGAAGTTCGAACCAAAACCCAATTTCCCATTTACCCACAAACTCAAATATGCAATTGGTTTTGAAATCCGACCTCAAATTGAGGTCCAAATCCCCAAAATTCGAAAATCCTAATTTCTACCCAAGAACACCCAATTTCCCATGAAAAACTTTAGATTTTGAAGTGAAATCATGTAAAAAAGATGAAATAGATTGAAGAAAAAGGAGTTAAGATTCATTTACCTATGATTTGGGGAAGAACTTGCTCTAGGAAAATCTCCCTTTGGAGTTTAGCTTCTGAAATTTTGAAGAATGAAGTGAAATCCCGTCCAATTGATGCTTTGATTAGGTGCAGATGTCGTAATTGCGACAGGAGCTTCGCAATTGCGAAGCTTGCAAATGCGAGACATGTTTTGCAATTGCGAACCTGCTGCATGTCTGCCCCTCTCGCAATTACGAGCAATTTGTCAGTGGGATCATTCACCCTCCCTGTTGACTTTGCAACCGCGAAGGGATGTCCGCAAATACGAACAATGCAGGCCTGGGCTTCTTCGCAATTGCGATAAAGCCCTAGCAATTGCCAAGCCTGTTAGGCTTGCAATTGCGAAGCCTGACCTCGCAATTGCGAGATCAGAGCCTGCAACAATACCAGATGCAGCAACAATATTTTCTAAGTTCAAACTCACTCTGTGGCCTATCCATAACTCACCCGAGCCCCCATGGCTCCAAACCAACCATGCACACAAGTCTAAAAATATCAAACGGATTTGCTCGCGCGATCAAGTCACCAAAATAACATCTTAAACAACGAATTTCACACCAAAACTCATGAATTCCTCTAGATAGTTCAAAATTTCTATTTCCTCAACCAAGGGTGCGATTTATATCAAATATCTTCCGTTTTTCACCAAATTTCACATATATGACTTAAATATTATAACAGATATGTACCGGGCTTTGAAACCAAAATACGAGCCCGATAGCATCAAGTTCCAACACTATTCAATTTCTAAAAATATTTATATTTTCCATCAAACAATTTTCTTTAAAAAATCTTCTCTCGGGCTAGGGACCTCGGAATTAGATTCCCAAGTCCCATATTTTACTACGGACCATACGGTACCGTCAAATTACGGGTCCGGGTCCGTTTATCAAAAATGTTGACCGAAGTCAACTTTAATCAATTTTAAAAGCCAAATTCAATATTTTTCTTAAATTTCACATAAAAGCTTTCCAGAAACGCTTCCGGACTGCGCACGCAAATCAAGGAGAAAGAACATGAGGTTTTCAGGGCCTCGGAACCCGGAGTCGGATTCTAAAATAAAAGGATGACTCTTTTGGGTCGTCACAATATATATATATATATTATATTATATATATATATATATATATATATATAAAGAACTTTAGATAAAAATTAGATAGATAAAATATGTTCTTATGGTTGTATATTATATTCTTCTTCTTAGATGATTTGATTGATGATATGGTAGTATTAAAATAATCAAATGAAGTTGTTTTCTGTATTTGTCTGAACAAATTCTCTTATTTTGTTCTATGTATATAAAATGTATGGCTAAATCTATTATAGAAAATAATTCGGTTTCTATGTCTAGTTTAAACTCTTCTAAACTTTTGTTTAGGCTTCTAGCAAATTCTTCTGGATTATAGTTAGAGACATTAATAGGCATTAACATTTTTCTTTTTATTTTATGGTACGGTAAAATTTTTAAGGTAAAAAGGTAAGAATATTTGTGGTAAAAATTTCTTTGTGATTAAAGTCTTATGTTGTAAAATCCTACTCGTTACTCTCTATCTCTTATTCTGTAAACCTATATTGTTACATTATTATCAAAATTATGAACTGAAATTACCCCTTCTATACTCTTTTTTTTAACAATTCACTCTGCTCATCTCTTCTTCACAACTTTTTAAAGATAAAATAAATTTCTTCTTAACTCTTTTTTCTTTAACCTCACCCTGGACACGGTTAAACATATATACCCATTTCTGGTTAATTTTGGGTTTGACCTAACCGGTTTCTCCTAGGAATTTATAGGTTAATCCATCAAAATTGTTAAGAGATTGGAAAGATAACCATATACTAAGAGTGATGTCTAGTTATTTACAAACTAATAATTGAGGAATAAAAAATATAAAGCTATACATAATAACATAAAACTGTAAAAACAGGGGAAATATATATATATATTTCTGCACACTATATTAAATAATAAGATAAAAACTAAGATTTATTAAAATAATATGATATATTAGATCATAATTTTATAAGATTAATATTCTATCATATTATTCGCGCATGGTGCGGGTTCTAACACACTCCGGATGGCATAAACTGCCTCGCAAATACAGAGGCGGATGCACCTTGGTCGAAGCGGTGTCATCCGACACGCTTCATCGGAAACTTTTAATAAATTTGTTTATCTAATTAATATGTAAATACCACTACAAGAGAAGTGATTTTTAGCGACGGAAAATCCAGTCGTTAAAAGCCCAAATATGGTCGCTATAGGTCATTAACGACCACGCAAAAATTGGTCGTCACCGGCCACTAAATGCACCGTCGTTAAAAGTTAACGACCGGATTGGAATTCGGTCATTAAAGATTCTTTAGCGACGACGTAATTTATAGTCGTTATTCTTACTCTTTTGCGACCGAATTTTTCCCTCGTTGATTTGTCATCCGGTCATTAAAGCTCTTTAAAAACAACCACAAGTTCGATTACTATAATTATTTTTAGCGACCGGAGTTCCCTTTCGTTAATTGTACGTTAGTTTTAACGATAATATTTTTAACAACCAATTTTTTCGCTAATACCTGTTTCACAATCTGACAATCCAATCATTAAATAATTGTAAAGGCCATATTTTTCTTCGCTAATATAAATTTTTAATAAATACAATTAGTAATTCATAATTTTTTCCCTGTGTTTGCGCAATAATATTTGTTATTCCATATAATTTTACACACACACATCAGAAAAAATAATAAATAAAACATGTATTCACATAAAATTAATCTGTCAATTAGAAAGAACTAGTAAAATAATACATTGCTAGAATATATACCCATCTAAACTGTATGACTTTCTCACTATCAATTCCTGAAAGAGAGAAAATGAAATTTCAACATATGTACAAATGCCAACATCCCTACACAACCACTAAGAAAGCTATAAAATCTAATATGCATCAATTTGCTTTGTACTTTCTTCAATGACATCTTCATTCTTCAACTTTTTAATCTGTTAAAAGAACAAGCTCATGTCAGTATAGTAAAAACTTCTCTAACTAATTTATTTAAAAAAATAAATGAATAAATTTAATCACCATGTTAATTGAACAACTGGAGTAAATAATTCAACCTTGGCGATTATAAATCAAATGCATAAGACACAAAAGTTTCTGCAGTTCAAATAATTTTGATTAAAAAGTCCCAAAAATAGCTAAACCACAATCAAATGTAAGCACCATCTCCAGTGATGATATGTCTTTGTTGACACCTTTTTCCTTTTTCCCCTAATAGTATGGGGGGTGGGGGTTGCGAGGAGACAACAACAATAAAGAGACAAGTTCCTAAAACCAGAAATTATTAAAAGCAAAAAAAAATATATCAGTACACATAATTACATTGAGAAAAAAATATCAAACAAGAAATAATTCATTTTAGCCACTTAAGCTGCTAAAAAGCCTTTTGACATGAAATCATTTTGGTCTTGAAAGACGTGATAGTATTTATTAAACTAAGAGTTATCTTTGGGTTCTATTGTTATGCTGCAGTTATACTTGAGAAAGAGCAAACAAATAGTGCAATAATTTGATGTTTCTGAGTAGAGAAAATATTGTGCAAGTAACCGGTAGCTCTGTGATGGAAAGGTTATGCTAACAATGTCTTTAGGGTCTCAAATGTTGTGGTACCCATTTTTGAGCTCGGGTTATATATTGTGTACCTGATGAAGTAGAAACCTAATTTAGTAGTGGAGGAAGCCGATTATCTAAAGTAAATAGGACACTTTTTTACTAAGCATTGCTTTCTTCATGATAAGTTATAGTAGATCGAAAAGATATGTGCTTTGCCTATGCTATATGAACTCGGGTAAATAAAGCAAGAATGCATGTTGAGGCGGTTGATTTGCCTAGGTCCCTTAATATGGATATAGGGATACCGAGAGTTGCTGCAAGGCTATTGATAACAAATAAATGCAGTTTCCAGTATGTATTGATTTACAAGTTTGATGATTAATTAGCATTTCTTTTGGGAGTTAAAAAGTTAGTAGTGGACTTGTCTTGTTTTGCATACTTATTCTAGACATTTAGGATTAGCACAAGGTTAAGTTATCCTTTTGTGTTCTCTCCATTTTAACCTTCTGGGGTATAGCCGATATATTTATGGCAATTATTGATCATGCCTGAAAAGGCTAGAGAAGGCACCTATGTGTGTATCTCAGAAGCTGATCTCAACCGTAGCATATCAAGTCATTTAGGAACCCAGGGTGTGCCAGGTGAATTTAACGTTCTCAGCCTGATTTAGCTCCTTTCTAATCCTGAAGTTTCAAGAAGCTTTCTAATCGTAGACAAAATACAGATAACAGGATTATTTAATCTTTTATTCAGAATCAAATGATGCCATGACACTTTAGTTTTCTGCAGTTAAATTGCATGACAATTGAGTGATGTTGTGATTCTAATTTAATCTAATTGAAGCGGCAGTGCCACTAACCTCTTTTTCTCTTAACACAAACTTAATCTTCATACATATACTTAATCTCCCGTAAAAGGCAGAACATCTTCTACTGTTAGGTGACAAGAATACAATGAAAGAAAGACATGGCAATAGAAAGTGATAAGGTGGCTAAATAAATGAATATGACATATGATAACTGTAACAAGTTGATAGATTTTCTTTTCGAGTTGCATTCAACTCATCCAACAGTGCAACCCTAGAGGAATTACCGCCTTTTAACTCCTTAGCGGTTATCCCGCCTCCAAATCCAACCACATTGCTCTTGCATTGAGGTCCAAAGCACCTTTCTACAACCTCAATGTTTGTAAGAGACGGCTCGGATTGCACCAATTCTTGAATTTCAGCCTAAAAGATTATAATCTTTGAAATAATGCAATACTTTGATAAAATAAAGGGTGTAAAATGAAATTTATCAATCAACATACATATTTTTCGTTGGTTTCAGGTTCGACAAGCTTATCGTCCTTCCTATGAGTCTCAAAGAAAATAGTCGCCATATCTGGTGGATTACCACCTTTGCCTCCCTTTGCATTTAAATAAACAAGTCAAACAATTTCTTTTAATCAAAGAGGGGGTTTCTTAATACAATAGCACGATTTACTTACCAGCTCATAAATAATCTCACTGATAGGCTTGCTACCCGTACGATGAGGCATAATCAACTTAGACCTATTCACTTAGTTTCTCGTACTTCTTTCCTATAACAACAAAAAAAATAGAAGGTGTAGTCTACCGCTTAAAAAAATAAGATGCTATAAATATTTATGAAGTCATACATTAAACTTTTCAGATAAGAAGTGCTCCTTGACCAACCATTCCCAATCACTCTTGTCGACCCCCTCTGACACATCCTTTAGAACATCGCGCAATGGCTTAGACTTCACAATCATGTGCAGCGTTCCTCTCCAATTGTTCCATAACCTTCTCATATGTTTCAAGACATTATCTCTTTAACCATTTATGTCAGCACGATCAAATTTGTCCTATAATATTTTAAAAATATCATCAAACATGTAATTCAAAAGTTTTAAATAAACAAAAAAGAAAAACTGAACCAACAATATAAAATAAAATATTTAAGAATTACTAGTGACAACTTAATTTATCTCTTAAGATGACGTGATTATTAAATGTGAAAACATGCTCGACATCATAATTTGGTCATATATAAACATTTCCAATACAACAGGAGAAGAGAGCAGATTCATCGATATGATTTGTAGATGTGTCCTTTATATTTGTCGGTTTCCATCTCTAGCAAATACTTTCACTGGGAGGAAAAATCTCATTCTGGATCTTAATTATTACTCAATAATGGAACTGATCTTTGGATGCTATCCTTAATCATTTCTCTATGTCCTCTAACTTAAAGACTAAATGAATGAAAGCATCAAATATTATCATTGGTCGATCAGTTTATGCACCAAACTATCATACAAAAAAATAATTTACTCAAAGCAATATGAATCTTAAGGAACAAATGTTAATAAATGAGAAAAACTCTATGGAAAGGAGAAGGCACATATTCATTAGTGGTTGTACAACAAGCACAACTTTCTCTACATACATTTCCACTCTATCTGTTGTAGGAAAGCAGGATGCTATAAGAGTTAGCAGCAAAGCCTTCTTTTACTAATTGACAAATTTGGTAGGCAAAGTATCAGTGACAAGTTTCCAGCTTGGTCCCTACATGCGTACTGTAAATGAAACTAAAAGACTGCACCTATATATGCTGAGGAGTTTCCACTTCTGCATATAGAATTCCTAGTGGCATTCAGTATTAAGTAATGTCGAATGTCAATCAAGTCACCTAAAATAACTATAAAGAATCATGTCACCTGAAATATATTCTAACATTGTACCAACTGACAGCTTACTATAAGTGAAATAGAAGACAATATGCTGATGAATTTCTACTTTCAGCTTACTATTCCTAGTGGTATTCGGTATGTCTTGCAAGGCCATAGTTGAATTACTCTCAATGAGAGTACACCATCTATAACTTATCCAAGAAAAATTGGATATGACTACAGAGAGTGAAGTCAAATTTATCTCATACAGTTTGTCCAAGAAAGTTTGATGTGTCATTACAAGCACATAAAACTTATCTTACACAATTGCTTGTCCATCTCCCTAAGTCTCACTTCCTGCCCAGTGAGGAGGAATTTCATGTTTTTAATTTATTTATCTTTGGATGCTAAAGATAAATGGATATTTTTCTCAATTTATGATGCAGAAGAAGTAGGATATTGGGGTTTTTCTAAAAAGCACAATAAACTATATGTTTCTACTCATTTAATTTTCTTTTTGAATTCTTACAAACCAGAAAAAAGAACTCGATAGATGCAATGATGTAAAGTCACTAGTATTTTCTTTTTATTTTTGAAAGAAGAAAAGGAAAAGGCAAAACAACAAGGTAATACTTTAAATTCTTACAGTAACAGCTTCCCACATATAGTCCAGCTTATATTCTTCGATGTCTGCCCATGAGTGTACCCGCAATGGGCACATATTACGGTCACGAACTAATATACCTAAGTGTCTCACAAATGAGGTTGAATTCTTCCCAACAACTCAATTGTGGTAGAAAGTGACGCTCAACTTTTCTCCAACTTTGAGTCCAAGAACATTTTTACACCTGTTCTTTCCTCTCACTTTTTTTGCCTTTTCAGATTCACATGGACCTGCTAATTTCAAATTTAAGTCAAACAATAAAAAAGTGCCACTGCAATAACAAAAAAAAATGTATTACAATTTGAAACAGTGAATTACTTATTTCGTTTCTCTGAGTGTCTTGCATCACTTCAACTTCTTGCGGGAGGGAAACATCATCTTCAACTGGATCAAAACCAGGAGGTGCAAGACTTTTATTCTGAGCTAGCTCGTTCAGATAAGAAACTGCTGCATTACGATTTTTACTTTTGCCAATCGGGAGTCTCTATTCAGCATTTACTCTTACCGAGCCCAAAATTTTGAAGCTTTGCCCTCGTCCCCTTGCTAAGGCGCCAGGTGTAACGTATGAATGCTTAACAGACTTCGAAGTTGATTCCATTTCAAACTTCTGAGATTTTGATGGATTCATCTCAACCTAATACAACAAAAGAAAGCAGAGTATTGTTAAGCTACCTCGACAAGAAAAAATAGTTTAGCAATTTGTCAATATGAAAGTGCTGCCAACTAGCACTCTAACTATTTTTGAGACATGGGCAAGCATCTCCTTTGATGCTGCTTCCATCCCTCAAAACCACTCGATAGGTATACATAACTTCAAGTTAGAAAGTATAGACTGTTCAAACTTTTGAATGTATAGCCAAATATTCTATCTTACTGAAGTTCTTTCTAGGCATGCCCAAAGTAGAGTTGCTACATTCAGTTTAAGACATAGGGATAGCAAGTGAAAAAGATATAAGAACAAATAGCAGCAGAATAGCTCACCTTCTCCTTTGTCGAACCTTTAACAACTGTCAATCGAGGTAGGGCCTTAGAAGTAGCCAAGTACTCAATTGCAGGTTCATAGTAAGACAAAAGCCAGACACAGAGACATGTCTCATAGAGAAGTTGTTTCAAAGAAGAAAAGTGAGTCAAATACATCATAGTTAAAAGTTGCAGAGGAACTTCTTATAATTTGGCCTAGGTATGGTAAGCAGGTCAAAGATGGAAGCACTAAACTTTTTGTCAACAATTACGGGAGTCGCATGATACATGGAAAGAAATGATAACCAACTCAACAGTCACTTCCCAGCGCTTCGAGAACAAATTACAGAATTTAGAAGTAGGTCTAACATGTGGCAGATTTTGTGTAAAGATGCACCTGAATGGACTGTTGAGTAGATGCTAGTGTTATTAAAGCAACAGCAGCTTCACTCCGTCAGGTAGAACAAATGAAGATCGAACAATAGGTTCCTTCAACAGAGTTGCAAGGCAATTTATTGCAATGGGAATGCTACAACTAGGATGAGAAGGCTTTCTCAGCTGCAGAGATATGGACAAATCAGGATTGATACAACAACAACAACACACCCAGAGCATTACGACCTAAATGTATTAACAAGAAATAATATTTGGAAGATATAAGGATATTTTTTCCGATAGACCCTCGGCTAAAGAAGATGAAAGAAGCACTGATAGTAAGTAATAACAATATTTACTCCTACATAAAATACCATCAATACTAAATAAAGCTAAAATACTATTGGCACACAAAATATTTAAAGTATGTTCGTTACTAAATAAAGTTAAAATACCATCAGCACACAAAATATTTACTCCTACATAAAAAGATAATGTGTTTACCAATGTTAAAAGACTAGTGATGTTTTTCCAACAAAATAATTTTTGTCCGCCTTTATTGTAGCGGAAAGAGAGACCCAAATATTCATTTTGCACTCTAAGCAAAGTGCATCAATCCCTTAGCAAGAGCATATGCACAAGAAAATGAACATAGGTAAACAAACATACTTGAAAAATGTTAGACGAAGGAAAAAAAAATACAACATTATCATGACACACAAAAGTGATGGAATAATAAACCTGAAGAAGCCCCTGACTAGTACAAGGAGCCTGTGAAAGTGAAACAATTATCCATTCGCGAACAGCCCATTGGTACAAAGAGCGAATAGTAGCAACACAAGCATGAAGGTGGATCATTGTGCACAGAAAATAACAGTGAATCTTGACAATTAAGAATCTATGAATATTCATATAGTTGAATTAATTAATTTAATAGATCAATTAAGAATTTATGAATATATCGGATTGTCAATTAACTTATGTCAATATAATCTAACACAACTTGCACTCTGTGTTATTCATATACTGTGTGTTATTCCTAATTTTTATCTTTGCCAGGTAGAGAACTTCTGCACCCTTAAATATTCATTTCTAATCCTCAAAGAATCAATCCTGAATCAACAATATATAATTAGTCAACAGTAATGATCACCTTTTATTTCATTTTTAGTTCTTACAATTTTTGTTGCAATTAAAACGACTTTCCATTAAATCGGGACAAGATTGTTGTTTCCACAATCAGCTCCATGATATTTCATTTAGCCATGGTCAGTAGCCTACTGTTATTGTAACCAAATGTATAAAATATTATGTTAGGTTCTTAGTAGCAGTTGTCAAGCTTTCCTCTTTTACTTCACATAGATTTTCACTTCTTTCCCTCATAGCAGACCAAGTCACTCTTCAGCATTGAGAACTTAATTCTGAAAAATGTCCAACTTTTGTGCTGTCTATTTTCAAAATCTTGTTGCAAAGCCGCGGGGCAACTACTTTTTATCATGAACTTTGATACTAAATAATTGTAGAAGGAACTAAGTTGTTGGAGTTTGATAAGAATCTAGCTATCTCAGGTTTGTATGACATAACAAATATTCTTTCTGTTTCTACATAAACTATCAACTTCGTATTGAGAAACTCAGATGCTTAGAATCACCAAAAGATGCAGCACATTTGTCACAATTAACTGCTGGAAATGACAACATTATATGTATTCTAATTCAAAAACTTTTAGGTATTGTCAATAAGTGCAGAAATTAGCCAAAAATACAGAGCAATCATTTCTAACAGTACCACAATGATGTCTCAAACATCCGAGTGCATAGCACAACCTAAACCATTTTACTGAATAGAACAAAAAGACTTTTTTTTTTTTTTTTGCAGCAAAGACAAAATTATATTGTTCCCAGATTTCAAATAGGTCGATTATAAATAAGTAGATTGTGAGAATGGAAAATAGCCAACTAATGCCTTGCAACCAAAACCTAAGAGCAGCAAAGCGAAATCACCAAAGAATTCTTCTACTAAACAATTACCACATTAGCAGGAACATGAACATAAAAAAGAACAACTGCTAGTATCACAATTACAGTTGCTTTAGATAAAAGATCCAAAATTAATAACACAATTATAATCTTAATTATTCTTGTCCTCCATTTCCCTTTTCTTTTTCATTTGTAAAATTTGAATAGCTAACTGAGATTGACATAATGAATTAAGTCTTTATGTTCCCAACATATACGAGAAGTAGTGCTTCGAGCTATCTTCGGCACTTTGTTATAGTAGATAGACATGGGACAGAAAATATTTAAAGAAATTAAACTAGATTTTCTATTTGAAAAACTATATAGCTGATTCTTGCCCATCAAATTTGCGAGCAAAATATTTTTAGGATTGTTGTTCTGTCCATATCTTATATAAAAGTCAAAGAGATAACACCATGTTTATCCACAGAAAGAGAACAAGGAAAAGGAAAATAACACAACAGGAGGATCCAAAATCAATGCAGAAACATAGCTTTGACGATAGAGGAGAACAAACCTGAGACCTGTTTTACAATACAATCACGACCAGATCCAAAAAATTGTTTCTTTTGTCTCCGGTTTATATAATTAGGGAGAAAGTTAGCAAATTCTTGTCTCACTAGACAAAGTTTATAATACAATCATGACCAGATATATATTGAGAAGCCTTTTTCCCCAACAACGATATGCAATCAAACCCAATTCCAAAAAACAATCTGCTCTGAAAATGAATACACATAGCTATTATATAACGAGCAAAATTCTAAAAAATAAAGAAACAACTTCTGCATATTCAACAGCAATACTCCTAAAACCTACATGTAACTATATATTTAAAGCATATGTAATTATAAGAAGAAACGCAATATTTGAAAAACAGGGAGAGAATTGATAACATAAAAAATTGCCCAATTTCACAATAATTTACTACAAGTTTAGAGCTTACCTTGTTGAGAAGGAGAAAAAGGAGAAAAAAAACCTAGGTTTTCAGAGAGGAACCCAAATTCTGATTCTTCGTAGAGTCCAATTTGTGAGATGTTAGCTATCTGCTCTGTAACTGTAAGTTATTGTATAGTTCTAAAACATAAGATACGTACTCTTTTGTTTTTTGGGGGAGAGGGAAGAGAGTTGAGGGGTGCGTGGGCTGATTGTGGGTGAGAAAAAAAAGAGGGAAAAAATAGCGCGCACTTTTTTCTATTTAACGTCTGGATTTTATGATTTTTAAGGACCGAAAATTATCCATTCGTTAATATTACTCTTAAAATTGGTCTTGATGACCGGAAAAAAAATTGATCGTCATAGATACACTTATAAAGACCGGTTTCAAATCCCTTCGTTAGAATTTGATCGTTAAAAGTCAAACTTCTTGTAGTGTACGAGATATAATACAAATGACACTCATGCATCTTGTAAACGGCTCTCTTATACGATCTTAGCTATATATAATATAAATATTCTTTTGACCAAAAAAAAAAAAGGGACAACGCTAGTGACAACTTACTCGTCAGCTCGCCTGTTTAATTGCCCGACCTTTTTATATAGAGGTCGTGAGTCTAGCCAATGGACAAAGAGCTCCCCTAAAATTCAGTTTAGACAACTTAAAACCCTGTTCTAAAAAAACTACTCTCTCGCTACAATTTGCAATTTCTGCTTGCTGCTTGCGTTTGCATTTTAAGTCACTTTGCTAATACTAATTTACTGAATCAAATGATTGTTGGTTTTCTGAATGGTTATTTGGCGCCTTTTTTGAAAAAAAAATTCTAATGAAGTTATTAAAAAAAAATTAATAGTAAAAACTCTGAATAGACTTATAGTAATATACTTGAATTGCATTTTATTATTATAACGGGTTTTGTTAATACGATGGCGTTATATAAAGATTTGTTTACTTATTTACTTTTTTAAATATCGACACCGCTTACGAAAAATTTTGCGTACCCACTGAGCAAATACATACACTCCACCATTATATACATCTGTCACTAAGCCAGAGATGGTTTTACTTTATATATAGTTTGTAACGCCTCCATCATTTGTACCCATGCAAGAAAACCAGCAATCTTTTTCCCATTCTTGTTCTTCCTCGTAGAAAAAGAAAAGAAATCTTGAAAATACAAATATGGTGGTTTCATCTAAACCAATTCTTGAAAATTCTTCTCACATTAAAACATGCAAACCCTATACTTCTGATGATAATATTCCAGTGATAGACATGTTAGACCCTCAAGCTAAATTCCATATTATAAAAGCATGTCAAGAATTTGGATTCTTTAAGGTTGTCAATCATGATGTTCCTAAAGAAACAGTGACCAAATTAGAAGGTGAAGCTGTTAGGTTCTTTAATTTGCCGCAGTGTGAGAAGGACAAAGCTGGTCCTGCTAATCCTTTTGGTTATGGCATTAAAAGAATTGGCACAAATGGTGATGTTGGTTGGATTGAATATCTTCTCTTTACTACAAATACTGAACTCATTTCAGAAAAATCCGTTAATATTCCTGGAAATTCTCACCTTTTCTGGTAAGTGCAACAAACTCTTGAAATTTCCGAATGTGTTTTATTTTATTTTTTTTATTTTTTGACAAAACAAAGAACGTGTTTTCTACTATGTATTTTTCCTTTTACCTAAGTATGCTATTTTTGTCCACGGGTATTGCCGTTAGCAAATCTATTTTAGCAACCATACTCTTTTTTTAGTAAAAATTACGAATAGCTCAATTTTTCACGTGTCATTTATTCGTATACTCACATATATACGACTTTCTTGAGTTGCTCTATGCTGGAAAAATTCGGTTAATATTTAGTGTGTGTCGATGTGTTTAGCCATGACTTCACTTGCGGACACCGCATTATTATTTGCAAGTTGAAGTATACAAAATACTGAATTTTAGTATTTAAAATATCATTGAAATATCAAATAATTTGTCTGAATTATATTTCAAGTGAAATAATAATGATTTTCACTCACAAAATTTTGAATTACTTTCGAGTGGAACTCATGTTAAAACACAACTACAACATTGATATACCTTCTTTTTCAAAAATAAAAGAGAAAAAAATCAACTTCAGATACAATTTTTCTTGGAATCTCATTTTTTCCCACTTTTTTAAATAGTAAGAGAGAAATTGAGTAAAATATCTTTTGTGTTGCAAACCTCAACCTCATATTCTGTACTCCCCTATTCTTGAAAAGATCACTATACACCTTGACCTTTGACTTTTCGTTCTTTCTGATGCAAACTTCAGCCAAATATCTTCAACACAAGCCTACTTATATCTTTTGAGGGAGAATGTTCCACCTTCTTTAATTTCTACATTTAGGATTCGAATATATAATATTATTATTCCTTGGGTTCTAGCTTGTGTGACACTCTTCTCTTTTTAGATAATTTGAAAAAGAATAAGACATTTTTATATTTAGTGCTAAGTAAATAATTTAAGTTTAAACTCTCTCTCTTATCCTTAATGTGATTATTTATGGCGACAGAAATAATTTATGCCTTACTTTGAGAACACAAGCTTCAAATATTATTCTTAAATTCCCTGCACAATAATTAAACATCATCACATAAATTAGGACGGAGTTAGGAATATATACTACTCCGCAAAAAGTGAACCCTAATTAGACAAGGAAAAGCACCATTTCTTTTATATTTTTCTAACTTTATTTTCCTTCCTGTTTGTATACAGGTCTGCTCTCAATGAATATGTGTCAGCAGTGAGAAATATAGCATGTCTTGTGTTGGAAATGATAGCAGAAGGATTAAAAATGGAGCCAAAGAATGTGCTAAGTAAGCTGCTAAGGGATCAAAAGAGTGACTCTTGCTTTAGGATAAATCACTATCGACCATGCACACAACTTGAAACATTGAGTGGAGGTAGAAATTTGATTGGTTTTGGAGAGCATACAGACCCACAAGTAATATCAGTTATAAGATCTAACAACACAACTGGTTTGCAAATCTGCCTCAGAGATGGGACATGGGTCTCAGTACCACCTGATCACTACTCCTTTTCATCATTGTGTGATCTGCAGTATAAAATTTCATGTCTATAAACCAGACNAGCTATCTTTTTTTAGATTACTAGTATTAATTGGTAACCTAGAATAAACTATAAGTCAATTTATTATATCTTATAAGTAACATGTTAGATTACATTAATAATATAAGAAATTATTTACACTATCAATATATATAACTTAAATCCAAAGAAAAATATAAAGAACGAAAAAAAAAAAGAAACTCGGCGCCAGATGGCATAAACTGCCTAGCAAATACATACACCAGTATATACATGTGTGACTAAGCCAGAGATGGTTTTACTTTATATATAGTTTGTAACGCCTCCATCATTTGCACTCATGCAAGAAAACCAGCAATCTTTTTTCCCATTCCTCGTAGAAAAAGAAAAGAAATCTTGAAAATACAAATATGGTGGTTTCATCTAAACCAATTCTTGAAAAATTTTCTCACATTAAAACATGCAAACCCTATACTTCTGATGATAATATTCCAGTGATAGACATGTTAGACCCTCAAGCTAAATTCCATATTATAAAAGCATGTCAAGAATTTGGATTCTTTAAGGTTGTCAATCATGATGTTCCTAAAGAAACAATGACCAAATTAGAAGGTGATGCTTTTAAGTTCTTTAATTTGCCGCAGTGTGAGAAGGACAAAGCTGGCCCTGCTAATCCTTTTGGTTATGGTAACAAAAGAATTGGCTCAAATGGTGATGTTGGTTGGATTGAATATCTTCTCTTTGCTACAAATTCTGAACTCATTTCAGAGAAATCCGTTAATATTCCTGGAAACTCTCACCTTTCCTGGTAAGTGCAACAAACTCTTGAAATTTCCGAATGTGTTGTTTTTTGACAAAACCAAGAACGTGTCTTCTAACTATTTTTCCTTTTAACTAAGTATGCTATTTTTGTCCACGGATATTGCCGTTAGCAAATTTCTTTCTGCAACCATACTCTTTTTTAGTACTTCCTCCGTTTCATATTATTTGAGGTAGTTTGACTCGGAATGAAGTTTAAGAAAAAAGAAGAAGACTTTTGAAACTTGTGGTCTTAAAAGCTTAAGGGGTAAAAGGTTTATGGGGCCATGCCATTTGTGTGACTATAAAAACATCTCATTAAGGGCAAAAAGGGTAAAATGAAGAGTTTAAAGTTGAATTATTTTCAAATTTAAAAATGTTTCATTTGTTTTGAAACAAACTAAAAATGAAAGCACCTCATTTAATATGAATTAAATGAAACGGAGGGAGTAAAATTAAGAATATTGACTGGAATAGCCCAATTTTCCATAAGTCATTTATTCGTATATTCACTCATGCGACTTTCTTGAGTTACTCTATAGTGGAAAACATCGGTTAATATTTAATGTGTGTCGATGTGTTTGGCCATGACTTTACTTGAGAACACCGCGTCATTATTTGCAAGTTGAAGTATACAAAATACTGAATTTTAATATTTAAAATATCAATGAAATAGTAAATAACTTGTTCGAGTAATATTTGAAGCGAAACAATAATGATTTTCAGTCACAAAATTTTAAATAATTATCGAGTGAAACTCATGTTAAAACACAAATGCAACATTAAATACGTTTTTTTTTAAAAAAAAATCAACTTCAAATACTATTTTTCAACTTCAACCTGATATCATGCACACACCTACTTATATCTTATGAAGGAGATGTTCCACCTTCTGCGGTTTCTACATTTCGGATTTGAATATATAGGACTATTACTCCCTCTGTTCCAACTTATGTAACACTCTTTTCTTTTTAGGCAATTCGAAAAAGAATAAAACGTTCCTATATTTTTCAATAATTTAATTGTGAACTTATCATTTTATTCTTAATTTGATGATATATAGCCAAATAAAAATTTTACGCCTTATTTTTAGAGAAATTTTAAATCATTCTTAAACTTCATGCATAATCAGATATTACATAAATTAGGACGGAGTTAGGAATATATACTACTCCGCAAAAAGTGAACCCTAATTAGACAAGGAAAAGCACCATTTCTTTTATATTTTTCTAACTTTATTTTCCTTCCTGTTTGTATACAGGTCTGCTCTCAATGAATATGTGTCAGCAGTGAGAAATATAGCATGTCTTGTGTTGGAAATGATAGCAGAAGGATTAAAAATGGAGCCAAAGAATGTGCTAAGTAAGCTGCTAAGGGATCAAAAGAGTGACTCTTGCTTTAGGATAAATCACTATCGACCATGCACACAACTTGAAACATTGAGTGGAGGTAGAAATTTGATTGGTTTTGGAGAGCATACAGACCCACAAGTAATATCAGTTATAAGATCTAACAACACAACTGGTTTGCAAATCTGCCTCAGAGATGGGACATGGGTCTCAGTACCACCTGATCACTACTCCTTTTTCATCATTGTTGGTGATTCCTTGCAGGTAATAAAAATTTTCATGTCTATAAACCAGACAATCCCCAAGTAAATTAATCACCAAATGTATTTTTAATTGGGGAACGTCAACTTTCACAACTTACATTCTAGTGATACTAGCATAAGGACAGTGCAATGCACAAAGCATTTCGCATTCATGCACGGTCTAAGGAAAGGTTACACCTAAAGGGGTATGATGTAGATATTCTACCCTAATACAAGCATTAATGACTGCTTTCATCGTTCGAACTCATGACCTACAAGTCACAAAATAACTATATGTCAGCTGTCACAACTTACAGAGTCTAGTGGTACTAGTAGAAGTATTTCACAATACGTTGAATTCTCACTATTTGCCATCCTTTTCTAATCCTTACAACAATAGTAAACCCAGTGTAATTTTAAAAGCGAGGTATTGGGGAAGGTAGTATGTACACAACCTTTTTCTTACCTTATGAAGATAAAAAAAGTTATTTTCGATAGACCTTCGCTTCACTATTCGATTTTCTTTTGTGATCCTTGTGTAATAAAAAGAATTTAAATTAAAAAATTATAAAATGTCTTAGCTTATCAAGAATTTTTAATCCTAGAAAATGCTTCTGTTTCTTTTTTCCTTTCCTCCCGACGTATAGCGTTTGGACATAGATTTGATTGAAACTTGAAAAAATAGTTTTTGAAGTTGTGTTGAATTTTTTTTTTTTTTTTTTTTTTTTTGAAAGTTGAAGACATGCATTTTATTTGAAGAAAAATTAAAGTTTTATGAGTGGATCGAAAGAAAAAAATTCACTCAAAATGGAACTTGAAAATTTTTGAGGTTTTTTCCCCAAAACATGATCATATTTTATAAACAAATAATGTTTCAATTGAAAAAATGAAGACAATCTATGGCCAAACTGGAGCTTAGTTGTTGCTTATTCTTTACATCCCATATGACGGTTTAGTTTCTTTCTTCTGTTTTTCTTTCCTTTCCCTCTTACAATAATTATTGTTTTAATTTTTATGCAGTAACAAAGCAAAAGATATTTATACAATCAAATTATTTATATGACAATTACAAGTAAATATCTATATAAGCACAAAATTTTGAAAATGGTATAAATGGTAGTGATCTTCTATAATTGGTTAATTTATACTGATTTGGTAAAATACTTTTAATGTTATCAGTGTATACAACTTAAATACTTTTATCTAATTGAAATTTTTGGGTTTATTTTAACTTTGTTTCTATGTGGTTTAATGGCAGGTAATGACTAATGGGAGATTTAGGAGTGTAAGGCACAGAGTATTGACGAACAGTTTGAAATCAAGATTGTCAATGATATATTTTGGTGGACCGCCTTTGAGTGAAAAAATAGCACCTTTATCTTGTATAATGGAGGAAGGAGAAGAAAGTTTGTACAAGGAATTTACATGGGGTGAATATAAGAAATCAGCCTACTTGACCAGGTTGGGTGATAATAGGCTAGGACTGTTTGAGAAGAAAATTAAAGTACGACAATATGGTCGTAGTTTGCTAATTTAGGGAAGATATTTTAGGATTTTGTCATCCAACAGACAGGTTTGGAAAGATTTTGGCCTTGGTTGGAACCCCTAGGTAGAGAAAACCAAGATTTTGTTTTGTTGTTAATTTCATCGCCTACTTCTTTTATTTTTTTGTGTGTGTTTAATTAAAAAAGATACCCTTGTATACTATAATAAATACATCATTTTATCATCCTCGTGTCGCTCTCTTTGTATATGTGGTGAACAATGTTTTAAAAGGCGGGCGTGAGGCGAGGCGTTTTACCTCTGACGAGGCGAGGCGTAAGTCCTGAGACATGGGGCGTAAGTCCCACGGATCTTTAAATTTTACTGATTTCAAGAATTTTAAGATAGTATAAAATAAAAAATAATTACAAAAATTACATTAAAATCAAAAAATTATAACAATTAATCTATTTAAAATATTTATAAAGTATAACTCAACTATGAATAATACGAAAAGTATGACATACATCATAATATGCAAATTAGCTGCAATGTCGTTGCAACTCAAATATCAAAAGCAATGTATTCGATACGAAATCTTATATGTATCTCCTAATCTTGAAAGAATTTCGATATTATAATTGGATATTTTTCTTAAAATGCTCCTTTTATTTAATATGCTTTCTATTTGAAAGAGAATTTATATAAAAATATAATTCATAATTTAAATATGATTCTCTAGCATCATTTATTTTTAAGTTTCAACAAGTTAATAAAGCGACACATAATTTATCATACAATACCATGATAACTAATTATTTGTAAATAGTTACTAGCTAATACCGAGCTATTAAATTAATAAGTATTGTATCTTGTAAACGTGAAAAAAAAATATTTAGAAAAATAATTATAAAAAATTATGGACTATTATATTGTAAAGACATAACAAAAGTTGATAAATAAATACCTTTTAAATGAAAGATTTATTAAAAATTAACTATCATAGCAGTCTTAGTGGATAACGTGCAATAATTTTTATTTTAATTATGACATAAAATACTCTCAACTTAAAGATTTATGATAAAGAAAAAAATAATTTTGAATAGTCAACGATTTATTAAGCAAATTTGAGAATTTACAAGGTTAGTTACATAGAATTGCAT